TTGCCAGAATGTGGTGACTCTGCTGTGGCTTGTGCATCCCAGGTGCACTAGGCTTTGAGTTTGGTTGCCTTTCAATTTATGTGAATATGTCCAACACCTTTTCTGAGCCAAAGTGATACTTCTAAAATAGGACTTCCATGTATCATCAAGGAAGGAGTGCACCTCAACGTAATATCTGCATTCTTGTGCTTTTCCCTTTCCCTTCTCACCTGCACAAACTATTTTAATTGTCATTCTTTGGTATCTGAGCTAATGTCCTGCTGACATACCTGGTGCAGAGTGAATCTAAACTTTTTTTTTCAGAGAACTTTGTCTCTCTGCAAGTGCTTTTGGGATGTGACCATATAAGCAAGGTACAAAGTGTACTGATGTTTGCCAAATCTGTACCCATTTTGGATCTGAAACTAGCACCTCAGTATCTGCTTTTATACATACACTTCCAGTGAATGTCAGGGTAGCTTTCATGCTCCCTGGCATGTCACCTGGATGATTATGGACAGCTTGTTTTCTCAAGTCAAAGACTTCAGCTCCCTAGAAAAATAGCTGTACACAAAAGAACTCTTAGGCAGTTCAGAATTGAAGCTGATCAAAATTTATTATGTGCTTAGTCTTATCTAGCATGAACTTCAGTGAATGCAAACAGGCTGTGTTTCCTTGGCTTAGAATGGTCTTAACTCTGTGAGGCAAAGTCTGAAATATTACATTTAAATATCTCATTCTAAATGTACTGTAAATTATTCTAGGAAAACTAAAATCATTTTCTGTGTTGACTTCTTCCTAACAAATTTTAATTGCTTTTGAAAAGCTCCTTTATCATTCAATCTTTATCCTAAAAAATAAATAAATAAACAAAAAGTCATTCTCCAAATGAAAAAATTCAACCAATGTTTCTAAAAAAAACCCCAAATACCTAAATAAACATCACCCTGGTCTCAATCCATGGTCAGGTTAATGGATCTGCTGCTCTAGCTTTTTACAGGAACCTCACCCAGTAATTTCTGCATCAAAGTCATAACATCAAGCTGAACTCTTGAATAGCCTTTACATGCCAGTCTGCATTAAAGGTTGCAGATAGGACACCTAGGTATGTTCTTTCACTACATTATGACTAATAAAGACCTCTTTGACCTGTTGCCTGAAGCCAAATACTGATGAATTGTTTGTAATTGTAGTCCTAATCTCCAAACTACAGAGAAAGAAACAGTACTGAGACCTTTCAGATGAGGTTAAGCTGATGAAATACCCCACTGAGGTGCATTTCTTTGGCTCTGTCCTTTGTCCCTTAAACTGCACCTAGGCTCCTACACAGCATTTATAATGGCTGTCCTGGTAGCTGTGAGGAGAAGTAGGATTTGTAGCTCGGTTTGACCTTAGATACTAGGTGTTGACCTCCAACATTACCCTGGGCCAGGGGAGAACAACAGATTCTGCATCACCATTATCTATCTGTTGGACCACAGGAGCATAACAGTTTTATCTAGACTGCACATACATTTTCATTATAAGGACAAAGGAGGGAAGGGAATTTTTTGCTTTATGAGAAACAGAACTCAGGTGGTAAGTGGGTGAGGAAAGTCCTCAAGCTGCTTTTGGATTAGGCTGCTCCTCTGAAGCAAGGGACTTTGTTATGCATCTGCAATCTATAGGGAAAGGGTGAGGGAGGTAAAAAGAATGAAAACTTTATTTGGGAAGTTTGATGCTGGCAATAGCTTTCAAATGTCCAAGTAATGTTTTGGAGAGCTACCTTATCTTCTGAGAAAAGCTACCTTATCAAAGTGAAAAAGAACATATTATTGTTTCTTAACCCCAGATGGCCTTTGGAAAAGAAATGTTTTGAAACCCTTAGAGCATAGACTTAGGAAAGATGTGTGTGTTTGTGTATGTTTGCTTAGCTTGTTAAGCTTGGTCTTCAATATACAAGAGAATGTATCCACCAAATATTTTTCTTCTTTTTTCCTTGTTTATCCCTCCAAAGTTTTCACTACCATATTCCCACTCAAAGGGAGTTCTGAAGCCAAAATCAGCCTATGGGGCTTTTTTTTTTTTTATTTTTCCCCATGAGTCAGCACCTGAAAGCAGGTCAACCTTCCTACAGATGGCTGTATCCTTGTAAATCATGGGGCTTTTAGCCTCTACCTCTTGGTATTAGTCAGAGAAGATGGAGGAAGACAGACTGTTCCAGATGACGAAATAGGCCCAAACAGACAGAAAGAGGGAAAAACCTGTTGAAGACAAATGCAGAAAGTGTGCTCCCCCAGCAGACTTTGGTGGTTTTAAAATCTTGACCTGGATCCTCCAGGGAAAGGGAAGTTATTTAATCCCATTCAGTTTATTAGGTGGGCAGTCATTTGCTCCGACATGGCCCACTTGCCATGTTTCAGCAAGTACGGAGGTCTGCCCGGAGATACCTAAGCAGGAGACAAGGAAGGCATGTCAGTCTGTAGAAGCCATGGTACAAAAAGGGGTGGTGTAGTCCCAGCCCTGCAAACTGGTCTCCCCACTACACCTGAGCCGAGGTGGGGTGGGACTCCCTGAGTCCCTCAGCATGAGCATGAGAATCATGTTCCTGAGGAAGATTCAGGCTAGATCAGTGGACATCTGTGGTCACTTGAAATGTTCCACGGTGTATGTTTTTTGTGATCAGTTTGGTTTCAGTGGCCCTGTTGGCTGCTACAAATTCCTTGGTTTTGGGGCGGCAGGGGGGTGGGAATCTCTCTCTAGGGCATGTTTGTGTTGCTGTGCAGGCATGTGAAACAGGCTGAAGCTGGTTCGGTAGAGTATGCTGGCTGCTGCTCAGGAGTGTGCTGTGGCTCTCAGGACACAGGCAGTTTCTGATGACCTGCCACTGCATGCTGACATTTGTGGTTGTTATTGTCATTCTCACCAGGAAGTGACAGATTTTTATGTAAGGTGCCAGGTCATTAAGTAACTCTGCCTTGGTTCAGTACCCTCATTTGTATGCTGTAGTGGTTGGATACTGTTACAGGGAAAAGGTTCCTTATGAATTAATGACTTTGAAAAAGAGCCTTATAAAGGAACTGTAATACACTGTATATTTTCTCTTTCTTTTCAAGTTTGAGTCCTGCTGATCCTTTAACACTTTGTGTATTTCTCAAGCTATATAGTTTATATAGGACTATAGTAGTTTACAGAGCTCTGTAGTTTACATAGAACTTGTAAACTTGTAGTTTACATAAACTTGAAATGATGATATCTGCACATAATTACTCTATTTAAATAGTCAAAATAATTACAGGGCTTCTCTTCATGAATCATACTTTTCCATATAAGAATTTTGGCTGTAGAAATCAAAAGGTAGTAACAGAAGTTATTCTGCTTCTGTTTTGGGAATATCAATGAGATTTTTTTAAGAGTTTGTGTGAAATTAAAAGCCCGCCATTTAAAACATATCAGGCTCTGGGTTGATCAAGCTGGGCACTTCTTGCATCTGGTTGCTGATGTGAGAGTAGCAACAATTTTGAGCAAGTTCAAACTGAGAAAGAGTGTTTGGAGATGAAACAGGAGCTGTCGTGGAATTTTTAGTCTGATATTGAAAAAGCTAACCTAAGCAAGGTTTTAATGAGGGCAAAAATCCAGCTCTGCAATTGGTAGGACTAGTCTAACATTTCATCTTGTGCTAATGGCCTCTTTGGGTAGGGGCATTGTCACTGATCCTTTTCATTCAGGGATAACCTCAATTTACACCCTAGCTAACCTGCAGCTTCTCAGAATGTGCAAGTAAACGGTGCTTGTTTGCTAATAAATAGCAGGGGAAAGACAGTCACTGCATCCAGCCTCTAATAGAAGTTATGGCAAAATGTTCTAATAAAAGGAAAGAAGTTTTCGCATTTAAAATTGTATTGGTCTTGCAACATAAGTGAGTGGAATACTGACAGGATACAAATCATAAGTAAAGTTTATCTGAGCAATTCCCATGGCTGGAATAGGAGTAGGTGTGTCTAATGTTTATTTGCCTAATTTTTCCCCTCTTGAAAATTTGCAACATTCAAAGGAAAATAATAAGTTTTTCAGCTTTTTGTTGGATTAGAGAGTACAAACTGTTTGTATCTGAAACACTTTTATTCACAATTGAGTGAAATTTTTCATGTTAAACTTTTTTTCAGCATTAATTTAGACTTGGAGCTTTAAAACTTTTCATGTGTACAAAGGAGTACAGCATTTGTAGTACACATATGATGTATTTAATCCTAACCTGTTGCTCCAAATAAAAGCAATATTTAAGATGTTTCATGTGTCTTCATATCCATCAAGCTCATGGTTGAAATGGTTTCCTCCCAAGGTCATGAAGATCTTGTGTTTAGTATTTATGATATTTGTATTTAAGTCATAGTTAGCACTATGATAAATGGTTAAAGAGAAGATTCTTTCATGTAGGCATCCTCATTGCAGTTTCTGTCCTTTGCTGGAGCTCTGCAGATGTACTTCACGTTCATAAGCATCTGAAACATGTCTGAGTTTTCCTTTTTTTTCCTACCAAGTAGGAAAAGATTTGATCTTTTTTCTTGGATCAAATCCATTAGTTCATTTCCCTTGAGCTGCTCTTTCAAATGCAGAAGGGTACTGTTTAATTTCAGGTAAAAACTATTTTAAGCAGAACAGATTTTGCAATTCATAAAATAGTTTTTGTTAAACATATTTTTTGTAAAAATATTTCTGGCATGACGGAACTGCTGGTCTGTTACTAAAATGTGGTATTTTGGAAACAGTGACATTTCCACATGGTCTCTTAAATAGGCTCTGTATTTGTAATCAGTTACTACTTTTATAAATGGTATGCCTGGCACAGGAGGGTGAGTTCACACATCCTTTTCTGTTCGTGCACACTGACCTGTGAACTATAAATGGAACAAAAGGATGAACTTCAATGGGCACTTGCCACTTTGCAAGATAAATAAGTGTTGATGAGTTAGACCTTTGTTGATATGCCTGAAGTAGTTTAAATAAAGACTATATGACGTATTTTTTCTTGCTATTTTTAGAAGTCCAGCTCCAGTGAGACCTGAAACTACACCATCAACTGCCCCTACAGAAAAGCAGGAGGTTAAAGCTCCTCGTGTGAGGAAGTTAACGAGGCAGTACAGTTTGTGAGTAACTATCTTTGTGGTTTTGCCTGCTACAGCTGAAAATGAAAGGGGATGCTAATTATTGCTCTTGCTATGGCTTCTGAAAGGCATGAGTGCAATTACATGATAATGATCTTATACCGATACCATTCCTTTTATCATAGAGAATCTTCAAGCTTTTAATACAAAATGACTGTCTTCCCTATGCAGTTGCTAACCCTTTGAACTGCAGACCATTCACCTTTTCCTGAGCTTATGGGTTAGGAATTAAAAACCTCTTTACTACATGAAATGTCAAACACCTGGTGTGAGCTGGAGCAAGCTGCTCTGTCGGCTTCATTACAACCCCATTTGCAAAATAAGGAAAACAGTCCTTAGTAGTTGAGTGAACAAGCTGTGCTGTCAGCCGTTCCCTTTCAGAAAGTTCACCCTCTCTCTGTGATTTGTCACTTGCAGAAATTGCTGAACCTGCTACATCTACAGCCAGCAAAGCAAAGTCTCTTAGTCCTGGCAAGAGTGATCTGTGCCTAAAGGGCTTTGGCTTCCTATTTAGGCATAGTTCATCCAATTTGAGAGTCTCTAGAAATGCGAGGTACTGAACTGAAGTGGAAATCAGTTTGTTGATTTGTCCTTCTATGAAAAGACAGAAAAGGCCACCAAACATTAGGGGTGAAAGGGGATAATGTCAGCATAAACTTATTAATATGGGAATACCAATGCCATAATGAAGACAAAATATGTACACTTTCTACACGGAAGGGCAACTGTTAATCCCTCTAACAATTTAACATTCTAATGCCAGTAGATATATAGCAACATTAGCAAAAGTTTTCCTTCTGTCCAGAAGGATTCTAACAAATATTAATATGTAGTTATTTTCTGCCTCACTGCTAAGTACTCTGGCTTTTAAACAGTCTGTATCACCAAAACTGAAAAATTATTTAGGAGAAGAAACAGAAGAATGAATCAATTGAAACTAGGGGGGTAATGGTGTTTGTCCAGGAGACTGAGATGTAGGAATGCACAAAGAATTTTTGAGGAGTTTCTGAGGAACAAGTGTTGTTCATGTCTTGCTCCTGTGCAGATTTTCAGTTGTCCAGTGTTAGACGTGAGGAACAGGGCATAAATACATCTAGCCAAAGGTGTCGTCTACGCTGTGGCCATGTGTAGGGCCAAAGACTCCCTAGTTAAAAGTTCAGGCTATTTTTTTTTCTTTTTGTAGACCCAAATTCTATTCAATTTAAATTATCTTGTGTTTGCAATGCAAATAGGGGAAATGCAAAGAAATTGCAAAGGAGCATTGTGAAAGTAATACAGTGAAGGCCAGTTCTCAGTTTTACAGTAGTGTGGTAATAGCATGATGACTGACGAGTTGACTGTAACCCTTAATTTTCCGCTTCCTTTTATACACCAGAGCAGCTTTACCCAGCAAGGATGGGGAGTGTGCCAGTGTATTCCTGCTGAGAGTGGGGAGCAAGGATTAAGAAAATGTCAGCTACATGTTTCTGAAAGAGAGATTAACTAGGTCAACAGCCCAGCTCTGGGCTTGTTACATTAATAAAATTTCTATTCAACAGGTCCAAAAGATTTTGTATTTTCTTTCCGTTATAAAGCCTGTATACTGTGCAAGCCCTGGTGCTGAATTTTATCCTTACCCAGAAGAAATAAAAAATGAAGCTTGGAAAAGATAACATTAATCATCAAAACTTTATATCATAATAAAAAACATTGCTAAATAACCCACCATAAGGTTGTGTAATGTGTATGTCATGCAGTTTTTAAGTTTTTTGTTTTGTCCAGGCATGCTACCTTCAAGTAGCACTAAATCAAATACATTTTTGTTCTGGAATGGTTTGTCAAGCTGGTATAGCAGGCTCCTGTGCACTGTGACTACCTAATTGGTAGTTAAAATTGGTGCTGTTGTATGAGCAGAAGTAATTTTTCTCATTATTTTTTGCCATGCATTAAACTGTCAAGATGCAGTCTTTCCTCTTCACACATCATCCTGAGTAATAAGGCTCCTGTAGACCAAATTATGACTCTGTTTACCTCAATGCAATTGCAATTAACAATTGGAAACATCCTGACTCAGGGCTGACTGATCCCAGTGATTTTTAGTCAATAGGGCTCTGCAAAAGCAAATGAGACTGTAACATTCTTTACTGGCTTTCATTTGGTAGTGACAGTAGGTGACATGGAAAGAGTTCAGCTTGATGGCCTGAAGCCCAGGGGAAGCGTGCAACCTCATCTTAAAAAAAATGTTTTCTCTGTAAATGGAATAAATGTGACAGGAAAAAGAAACCCTCACAAGAATGTTTCTGAAGAGATCCTTTTTGGAGTCAGTCAAAGTCCTTTAAAAACAGTTTGAAAACAGTAGCAGAGACTAGCTGCATAAAAACTAGTGTTGTCTGAAGCCAATGAAACAGTCTGTCCAACGGATGAATCTCACCAGATCTTTCTTATCAATGCTACCAGCCTCCACAGAAGAGAATAAACACTGAAGTGGAGTAATATCTAATCAGTTCATTTATCTGTATATACATAATCCATAGAAATGCTATTTGCACATAATAACCATAAGATTTCCATTTACAGATGAGAGGTACCTAGCCAATCCATTTTTGAGGAATCTTTAAAGCTTAAAAAAGAATCTAATTTGCTTGAAAAGGTAGCTGCATTACAGATGGAAGAGTAAATGGAACTTTGCTTCAAAGCATTGCAGCAGACGTGGAGGTTACCAGTGCCTCTTCCGACACAAGCACAGTGAGAGTTCAGTGACATTTTCTAATGAGATCTATCTGCCTTTATCAACTGCAGTGATGAAGATGACCTTCCTCCAGCACTGGCAGCAGCAGCAGCAGCATCAACACCTGTATCTTCAGCATCTCCTGTGTCACAGAAAACATGTACGCCACAGACGTCAGAAGGACAAACACAGGTTTCGCCTGGTGGCAAGGTAATATGCAAAGAGGTGACCTTATGTCAGCTGGGAGAGTGTTCAGGAAAGGTAGGAGGGAGCTGTGGGAACAGGTTTTCCTTAGATGGAGTAATTCTACATTTAGGAGCAGTTTTAAATGCAGAGTTGTAGTAATATGTTTATCTTGTTGTGTAAGGAAATATTTAGATCCCGCTCCAAGACCCAACTAAAATCAACGAGAGTTTTGCATCAAAATTAGCAGGCAGTGGATCAAGATTAATTACTTTGATTTCAAAGTTGCATAATTTTGTTATCTATCTTTCCTGAGTAGCTATACCTAAAAAACATGGTGTGAAATTTGAAATGCATTTGGCAATCTGTGCTTTAAGGAATTTAAAAAAATAAAACAACAACAAAAAACCAACCAACAAAATTACAGAAGTGATTTTTTTGTTTGTTTTCCAATGCTGGGTTTCTTTTTTGCCTTTAGAGTTCCACAGATGCTGGAAGTACCTTTGCTTTGGAGCCAGGTGACCTCCTGATGGATTTCACAGAGGCCACACCAATGGTAAATAGTTTTGGTTTGCAACCAGGAAACTCTAAAAGTTTTCAGTAATTTGTCTGCAGCTAAAATGAACGGGATACTATGCAGTATGTTAGATAGTACACAGGAATAAAATAAGTTTCCTTCGATATTCAGTGATCCTGAGCCTCTATCAAACTCAGCTCAGCATCTCTGAAAATCAGTCTACATCAGCAAGTATTATGGCTGATTTTCTGAATTTGTTTCTTTGTTGTTGGATAACTTCTTGTTTCTTTCTCTTATCTGGTTACCTTTGCACCTTGCTGCACTAGTTTCACAACCTGCTTTGTCCTTTTAATGCAGATTCGTCATGTGATCATAGGTTTGCTTTTGGAAGTTGTCTGAAAAGTAATTTCTTCTCCCACGTTTTGTTTAGACCTTACCCAATAGCCAATCCAAAGACGTGTACCTGCACTTTTTCATGTTTCGTTAGCAGAGTGCTCTTGTCTCACTTTAGACAAAATAGTCTATAACATGTTGATTATTAACTCCTTTTTTTAGAGGTACAAGACTTGTGTTTTTGCTTAAAACCCAGGGAGAAATACCGGTCCCACTGAAGTAAAAACACCTCTTGACTTCAATGATCTCATACTTTCACCTCAGATTCTCAGATTAGTTGAAAAATCATGATATGATCCTTAACTTCCTCCAAGTCATCCTGTATTGCAAATATCTAATGCTGTCCAAAGCTATTTTTGCTGTCTTCTAGAAACCACAATTAAAGCATATAAAAAGCATGACAAGGACAGCATTACATTTTTGGCATAAATATTTTTGTATTAAGGTACTTCTATCCTGGGCATTGCTTTCACTACATGGCTAGGTCCTAGTTTACAGTATTGGAAATATTCTGTGGGGTTGTGCATTTGCTTCAGAGACAGTATTGTACTGGTCTGTAAATAACTACATGTGTCCTGTTACCAATGAATGAGAGCTGTGGCTTCCCCTGCAGGTTTGATATAGTGACAGCTTATCCCTCCTAGGCCTCTCCCTTCTTGCAAAAGGGGATGTGAACATTCAGCTGTGTCTTACTGGCTTCAGAACCGTGTTGAGGGGATAATGGGTGTATTCTGCCTAGAGACTTGCTACTGTGGATTGGAAGACAGGTTTGATGCAGGGGACTGGACAGGATCTAGGGAGCAGCTGACACTGTCAATGGTAAACTGCAGTTTGGGAATGGACACCACCTTAGGATAGAGACACCTGCAGAACTGTTCTCTCTTACACAATTTTGAGCCTGTGGAATCCTTCACAAAGTCCCTATGGGCTTTTCATGGTCCCTCTATAACATCAGTGGGTTCAAAAAGGATGTTCTTCATCTTCCACCACAGAAGTAGGTGCTATTGGCACCCACACTGTTCCGGCTCACCCACTTCTTATCTTTGCCCTTCAGCTGGTTAGTCATCTGAATGATCCTTGTACCCCAAGACTTTTATACTGCAGATCTTGAATCTCTGAATTGCAGCAAACTGAAATTTAAGGGGCCCTTTGCCCCCTAGCACCTAGGGGTGGGAAAACTGTTCCAGCTCTAGCAACCACAGTGAGAGCACAGTGCTTACTTCTCTTACATCCACCATAGAGGAAGGACCTGCTTTTGCACCTGAAAATACAATCACAAACTGAGGACCATATACAGAAATGAAAGGATTTACCTGGTAACTCCTTGAAGTGCTGACTGATGAAAATATCCCATTCCAGAAAGTGGCAGAAAGAGATGTATTTAAGCTGAATACCACAACACCTCCCCATGCCCCCCACTCCCCTGGCTACATTTCTGTGAGAAGGGAACATAAAAAAGGAGCAAAGTATAGAGAGAAAGAAGTGCAACATTCTGCAATCTTGGTTTGGGTTGAAAAGACTCAGGCAGACTGAAACCAAAAGTACCTGAAAGTAGGTTGTAGCGAGGTAGATATTGGTCTCTTCCCAAGTAAGAAGTAACAGGATGAGAATAAACAGCCTCAAATTGCTCCAGGCGAGGTTTAGATTGCATATTAGTAACAATTTATTCACCAAAAGGGTTAGCAAGCATTGGTAAAAGCTGCCCAGGGAAGTGGTTGAGTCAACAGCCCTGGAGGTATTTAGAAGACTTGTAGATGTGGCACTGAGAGACATATTTTAAGGGGGGACTTGGCAGTGCTGGGTTAGTGGTTGGACTCGATGAACTGAAGGACCTTTCCCAATGTAAGTGATTCCATGATTCTGTCTAGGTTGGATTGTCCTTCTCCATGTTAGTATCATGTTTGTGGCTAAACTGTAGTTATCCTTTGGACTTTGCAAATAGATTTCTTATTCTAAAAAACATACTATATATTATTGTATTAATCAGAATTTTAAAAAATTATTCTTGGAGAGTTTAGCAACTGACCTGGTCTAGATAACACTTCCATTCAAGAGAAATCAATATTACACCCCTTTTCCTTTTCCTGCTGAGGATACAGATTTTTTACCCTAAATATTTTACCCAGTCATGCTTTCCCTTTCCCCAGCCCACCTTCCACTGACATAATTTATCATGCTGTATGTTCATAAGCTAACCTTCCACTGACTTTCTTGCTTTTAATATTTCGAAGAGCAGGTACTGCCCAGCATCAATCAACCCTTTTCGTTTTGTTTAACATCTATAAAGGTCAGCTCGTTCTCCACAGAGCAGTTATTGTTTACAGACCTTTCTCTGCAGTTTCACTGGCTACTGACTGCTCTCAACTGAGGTTTGAATGAAAAGTTTACTCTTCAGGGGGAGAGGCTCCAAACAAAAGCAAGCGAAGGGGAAATGCCAGCCTGATTATTTAATAATTCTGTTGTGATAGCATGTGCAGTCTGTCATTTGAGGGTCGAGATCATGTACAGCTTAGCGTCGTGTTATTCTCAAGCCTCTGGTAGTATGCTGGTTTTGCATGCTGTGACCTGGCCTTGGGAAGTTGTTTGCTAATTGCACCCATTTGTTTCACATTCAGTGACAGGTACAGTATCTAAAGGGGTCATTCAGACTGCCTTATTTTGGGTATTTGCCTGAGGTGATAGAGATGGAAGTTCAGGTTCCTATGCTGTCTGGGGGTTTCTTGCAGAGAAAGACTAAGACACCCAAATTGGTCACCCAAAATTAGTTTTTTTACTTTATTTTGGTCATGATATTTGCTACCAATTTGAAGGAGTTTCAGACATCCTTCCTTCTTTTCTGTAGCATTACTCGTAGAGAGAGATTAATAGTCACTGACTCAGCTACATGATCTTTGTTGTTCAATGTCTAACCATTGATGCTTCTTGATGGCCTTGGGTTTTATCCATGTTTTGCTGCTGTTGCCAGCGAAACAGTGGAAGCTTCCAAATACAGCAGAAGCTCTAATACGTGCTGAGAGTTACACTTAGAAGTGGAGCTCACAAAACCAAATTAACTTATAAAAATGTAAGGATTACTGAACTGATTAGATTAATAGAAATCATCCAGACTGCCATGCAGGGATGAGAGCAGTCAAATCTGTCTACTCAGTCAGCCTGGAGGAGCTGCAGTGATATATACAAGAACCTGGGGAGCTCTAATTGTCACTTAGTCATCAATACTTAGACTGCCAGTAAGAGTGGGACAATTATGAGGCAGACTGATTTCAAGAAATCATTTTGCAGGAGAAATAATGTACATTTATGAATGCAGATTGCCTAGAGGGAAAGGTCTCCTTTTGTGCTCTGCACTCCACAAACCATGTGGTTTATGCACACTTCTGTTCATTTTTCAAGCAAATCCTACAATTAATTGACTACAACAATTAAAGACTTATCCTTAAAATCATTATAACAAGGGCTGAAGAAAATCCCTATCTTTTCGTACCGCTCTGTTGTGACTTTTAGCACCATATGCTTTTAGCTGGTATGTAAACAAGGTTCAATCCCTCCTGCTTTTGTGTTTCAGAAAAAAAATGGATTAAAAATGCAGCATTATATATGAAGAATTATCACATTAAGAGCATCCTTATTGAGGTACATTAGAATAAGTTTTGTCAGTGTAGTAGGCTCTTTCTTTCACCAATCTTTCTCTCCTTCCATGCCCCCTCCTTGTGTTTCTAGCTTTTATGGAACTGGAAATCAAAGCTTGAGCTTCAAGCTGTTCTGTTGCAGCTTACAATCAGTATGATTTCTGACAAGGGTATGAATTCAGAGCTTTCTTGTTTAATTACAAAAAGCTCAGTCCTAAGACCCTGAATGATTTTAACAGCTGCTACACTGTGCTGACAAATACCTTCTCAACCAAGAGAGAAAGCTTGTGTGTGCAAGCTTGGGTTACACCTAATGGAGTAGGACAAAAGAAATTAGAATGAAGAGTTTTGTGTACGACATGGAGCTAATTCTAAACTTGGCCTAAAATTTGTAATACAAAATGGATTGATTAGTAGTAAATAATGATCACATCTGGGGAGATATCAGAGAGCACTGATTTACAGCTAGATATATACTTTGAAATTATAGATGTTACTTCATGATGTATCAAGTGAATAATTTTCTAGAGCTTAACCTGCCATCTATTGGTGGAAAACAGAAAGTAGAAAATTATTTGCCTATTAAAATCTTGATATACAACATTTAATAGGTATAAATTACCAATATGATAGTTTAAAAATGAAAAATAGATACTCTTCGGTGTAATACAAGATATTTTTTATTTAGGTTGAGTTGGAAACAAATACTTCTATTTCAGTAATAGCATTACTAGTGTATGCAATCCTGTTAATTCAAAGTGATCTCACTGAGTCTGAAAGAGTATAGAATTTGATGCATTAGCATCTGCCGTTTTGGAAATAAAGTGAAGGCAATCAGGTCAAAAGTCAGTCATCTGAGGGGCAAATTGTGAGTCGTTTTTGTATCTTGATTGAGGTGATAAAACATCCTTGCAAACTCTCAGTAGATACTTAGAATGAGCAAGGGATAGTGATTAGAGCGGAAGGGGTAAAGAATTTCATTCCACTGCCCTTTAACATTTATTGTATTAACAAAGA